CAGTGTGGTCAGAGGAGACATGGATAGTGTGCTGCTGTCATCCCTATGTGAGGGTTTTTGTGAAAGCTTTGAGCGTACACAGGGCACAGCTGACAGTGGTCGTGAAGTTTGCCCTGGGCACTGGAATGCGCACACTCCTGACACACTCCGGCTTCAGGCTGGCCTGAAGTATTCTTTTCCAGATTCCATTTGGCTAACTTCCCTCACCTTCTTCAGTTCCTTTCTCAAACATCACTGCTCAGGGAAGTTACTCCAGTTAACTGATGCTCGATTGACCATTGCAGCCCCTCTTGGCATCTTCCACACTCTCAGCATAGCCCTGCTTTGCTTGTTATTTTTCTCCTTAGCACTTATAGCCCTTTTGTCAATGACTATACTTATTTACTTCATTTATTTACTTTTGGTGCTGGAAACCAAACACAGGGCGCCACAATTGCTAGGCAAGCACCCTACCACTGCACTAAATCTCTCACTGCTTCCAGTGGGTATAATTTGATTGTTTAGCATGTTTATTGCTTATCAGTCCTGGTAAGTCCTGACTGCAGCCTGACTGTATCCCACCAGGGCCAGTCTTTTGTCAAAGAAGTAGCCTAACAGTATCTGGCAAGGAGTAGACATGCACAAATGTGTATGAAATGGTTGGATGAATGAGGACATTCTTTACAGGTATATGTGACCTTAAGCCATGGCAGTGGTTTAGACAGTCCAGGAGGCTGGAGAGGCTCTCAGCTTAATCTCTAGGAACCATGATGGTTTATGGTTAATGATCCCTTTGGAATCATTCCCCTCCCCCCACAACACACACCTGAATTGTTTGAAGAGAAAGATTTATGAAGAAGTTTAGTAGCAAGAGTGAGGTAGGCATGCTTAAAGTTTATTTTTTGAGAAACCAATGGGAGGAGTGAGCAACTTGACTTTATTTTTCCAAAAGAAATGTGAATCTTGAAATTAGTAAGTCAATGATGATGATAAGTACTGTGAAATATGAAAGTACTGTCAAAAGGATTAAGTAGGGCATTTATTGCACTCTGTAGAGTATAGTCACTAAGTTCTTGCTTTTTTAATTTGATTTTTTTAATTGTTATATGGTGTGTGTACTTACCTTCTTGGATACAGTGTTGTGACTGGATGCATGTTTACAGTGTATGAATGATCAAATAAGACTTAAGTGTAACTAGCCCTTCCAGCTCCTCAGACGGCATCATTTCAAATTAACTCATAACTTAAATGTTATCAGAGCAGAATCTCAAGAAGCGTTTGGAAATGGGGAGGTCCACCTCAGAGTAGCCAATAAATAAGGATTTATCTAATACTTTCTTACCAGGCACATGTGCCTGTGGATGCGTGGAAGACTAACTTGCAGGAAGCAGTGAGCTTGTCACTATCTTACCTGCACTAGAGTTTAGTGAGAAGCTACCTAAGAATGTATAATACCAAGAAAATAATTATCTGTCCTCTCTGTTGCACTTAGTTATCACAAATTTCCCACTTAACTGCTCCCTAGTTGTCTCAAAGTTTGTTTTTGGTTCTCATAACTATTACGTTGAGAAAAGGCATGTTAGACCGAAATGCACCTAGAGATAGATGAGGGAAAGCCATGTTAGATTGGAAGAAGCACAGAGAATTAGGTGAGAAGACTGCTTAGTATGTCAGCACAGGCTTTACTGGGGAGCAGAAACCTGCAGAATGGGCTAACCAGCAAGAGAGCAGAAATCCACTGCCACATACAGGCCTGGGAGTAGTTATAGGTGGTTAACAGAAGTCCCAGGAAGGTCGCTGGGTGGGAAAATCCTTATGGACCCTCAGACCCTCCTCAGATAAAGGGTGGGTTATTCTGTTGGGACCCATATTTCCAACATATTCATTCTTCCAGGCCTGATGGGGAGTTTCTGGTAAATGGCTAAAGGTAGATTTTTGTTATTCTTTAGGACCAAGTCTGGGATTCCAGTAAGCCACTTGCAAGGGAGAGCAGAACTGGGCCTAATGTGGTGCCCTATGTTCACCCTAACAATAATAAGATGTACTTTCCCCCAGGATTGGGAATTAGATTTTTGGCAAATATTGTTACTCTCCAAATATTAAGGTTCTTGCTGGCTAGGAAGATTACATTTTCCCATAGGTATACTTATGAATGTTGTTCTGTTCCCAGGTCAGGCTGCCAAAACCAAACCAAACCAATGACCCCCCTCTATGCCAGAACTGCTCCTAAAAAACAGTAGTTTGAGTGTTGAGTGGAAAATGCAGAAACAAACCTTAAGTCCCAAATGACCAAGTGGTTGAGGGTAAGGATAGCCCCAAGCAAAATGATGAAACAAAATATTTACCATGGAGACAATAAAACCCAAACTGCAAGGATCCTTGTCTAGATGTTGTCTTATTTCTTTCCCCCTTGCTTCCTGACCTCCAGGGCCCTGATTCCTGCTGACCCTTTACAGAACCTGCATGGAAGGGGGCCCCCCCTTTCTCACTTCAACCTCCAAGACTCACCATGAGCCATACTCTGCAGCTTGTTTGCACCCCAATTCAAAGGAGGAGCCTAAAATCCAACAAGCACCTCCCCTAAGCAATTAAACAGGAATGTGCCCCCAAGGCATTCTGTCCCCAGAGTTCCCTTTGGTGATTCTAATGCACAGTCATTGTGATGGAGGAAACTGGGAAGCCTTTTAAATTAAAATGAGATCAGGGTTTCAATTGCAGCTTTGGCCTTTTATTAATTTTGGTACCTTTCACTAATCCGTTTATCCCCTCAGAACCCCAGTTTTCTCACCCCTCTAGGGGGTTTTCCAGCCCTCACAGGCTTCCAGTGAGATTTCACCCAGCCTCTTAGCTTCCAGGTCTCTGGCTGTGAGTGAGGTACTGCTCTGCAGAGATGCTATTGAGAATGCCTCGAAAAGGAGGGAAAAAGGTATGCTGCTTTAGCTGGTTTAGCTCTATTATGAGAATTTGTAAGTGAAATAGAGCCCTCTACGGCTTAGAGCTGTGTTTCTTAGTGGGGCTCAGGAACTTGTTAGAAATGCAGACTCTCAGGGTGGACCTGAGAAGCCCTGGGAGCGCCCAGCAGCCTTTGCTGGACCCAGACCAGGGCTGTGGGTGAACTGCTGGAGAGGCATCCTGCTACCAGGTGATGAAGGACCCCAATGAGGAGCACAGGCAGGGCCCACGCTGAGGTTCAAGCAGACGAAATTCCCAGTGCCACCAAACAGATAGGGGAGTCCCCAGGGCATGTGGAGAGTCCCCTCTCCCTATACCCCCAGGTTGGGTTTTCTTCCCACTGGTCCTGGAATCCAGGGGAGGAGCATGGTATGTATACTTTAGAACGAAATATCTTTTTGATGTAGAAAACTTTCCATACATACTGTTGAGTGCCAGGACTCCCATACAAATTCTCCAAGGAGGCAGGGTTTTCATGGCTGTTTTCTATAATTATCTTTTTTTTTTCTTTTATGGTACTTGGGTTTGAACACAGGGCCTCAAGATGGCAAGCCCTCTACGACTTGACTCACTCCACAGCCCTTTACTCTTTAGTTATTTTTGTGCTTCTGCCTGGGCCAGTGTTAGGCCCATCTCCTAAGTAGCTTCAATTACAGCGTGGACTACCACACATGGGTTGCAATTGTCTTTTTAAATAAAAGTCTGTAAGTTATTTGCAAAAACAAGCAAGAGAAAAATTGCCTTGATCATTCCAGCCGATATCTGGCGTGGATAACGTTGGAGGGATTCAGCGAGATTTAGGGAGAAGCAGTAGGAAAGGGGTCATCATTTTAGTTAACAGGAGTTGTTGAGGATTTTAGTAGTAACCAGCTTGAATGACAGAGGAAAACTGTGTTGCTTAGCAAGACAGAGAATAATGACCTGGGTAACTTAATTCACTGCCCTTGGAAACAGAGTCTGACCTTCGTGAGAGATGGTTCCTGATTCATCGGTAGGTTATTGAAATTTCTTCTGTAATAAACTGGGTTTCACTATGAAGTCATAAAACTACTAATTGTGTACGTGTGCCAGTGTATGTAGACACTGGGTGAAATTATCATGTGTGTATATGCCCACTTTCTCTGCTAGATAGAGAATTGTCAAGCACAACCTTTCAGAGGCAGTTGTCTTATTCCAGCATTGCACTCTGAGAGCCACATAATTTGGGATTTTTACCAGTTCACTATACAAGTATACCTGAGCTTAGTCTCCTTGACAGTCACACCATACTCTTGGAGAGTCGCGGCTGCTTGTATTTGTGCATTTAACTTATTAAAAGTATGGCTTTATTTCCCACATTCTGCGATGTGGTCTTCATTCCTTGTCACTCTCTCCTGATGGGCCTTAGCTAAGAAAATGATGCAGGATTCTTCAGATTCTTTGCCACTAGGCGGGGAGGAATTCAAGTATGTTTTCAGCTTCCAAAAAGAATGACTTTGGTGGGAAGCAAAATTGAGTCCAGTGGACTTTGGACTTACGTAAGACCTTGCATAGCTGCTCTTAATTTCTTTGATGTAAGTATGAAACGTGTCCTTGATTTATCTAGATTTGATATGATTATTTGTAGTAAGCAGGCTTAGTTTACCTTTGATTCTAAGAAAATTACGTGATGAAGTCGTTTTTGATATCCTCTTCAAATCACAAACCAGTTGCCCCTTTCAGTATTAATCTCTTTAAATTTGGCTTAATATAAACATCTGTCCTCTGTGTTGTTTCCTGATGATTTGATGGAGTAACCTGCATATTTGTACTGAGCCAGGAGGTGACATTCTGAGCTGAAAGTGTGGTGGGTTCTTCTGTGACAGTACCCGGCATGGATGAACCCTAGTGTGCCGGGCACCCTGCTTTCTATTTGCTGTTTGTCTTAATCATTGCACTAATCCTGGAGGTGTATGTCCTACTCTTTTCTCATGTTAGGAAACAGAAGGATAGGAAAGGTTATGCAGTCTACCCAGGTCTTGGTTAATTAACGGGAGAACCAGAATGGACCCCAGGCTCATCAATAACAGTTGTTCCTTTTCCTTTTACAGGTATGAATGCTGCTGTCCGTGCTGTGGTGCGCATGGGAATATACGTGGGGGCCAAAGTGTACTTTATATGTGAGGTCAGTGTTTGCTTCCATTTATGGTTTCTCTGACTGACTCAGTGACGGTGCCTCCCACTTGCTCAAAGCCCAGCACTACCAGCTATGTCTTCAGGCCAAACCTGCCTTCCAGTGCCGAGAATAGGAAGTGAGGAGAGAAGGGAGATAAGACAGAGCACAAAAGTCATTCTGGTACCAACTTCCTGGTCTTGGTTTACAGGGTCAGTGATCCTGAGTGGTTGTGTTAGTCTGTAGTGCTCATTCCTACACAAGGGGTGTGACTTCAGTAAGCACTAGGAGAAATGGGAAAAAATGGGCACGGAGAGTTTTTCGTCATTAATGGAAAATCTAAACTGCCTATCTAGTACCTACTCATGCCTTAGCTTTAAAATGGGGAAGCTGTGAATAAACAGCAGGGAAGACTTCGTCTCCTAATGTTGAAGTCCTGGCAACTTAGAAATAGGTAAACCTTGGAGAGAATGTTCTAAGATAGTTCTGACCACTTTCTTTATATCAAGAACTATGAGATAAATTTCATATTTAATTTTTTTTAAATTTATAAAATGCAAGACAGCTACCTTTAAAACTGGAAAGAATAATTTTTTTAAAGAAAAAAATGTTTTTCTTTTAATACCATCCTTGTTGTTTTAGTTTGAATCCTCCCAGCATCGTATATGTAAAAGACTAGAAGGAAGTAGTCACGTTGTAAGCTGAGCATGGTGATGCATACCTGTAATCCCAGCGCTCAGAAGTGGGAGGCAGGAGGCTGTTGATTTCAAGGCCAGCCAGGAATACATAGGAAGACCCTGTCTCAAACACCAAACTAAATCAATCCAAAACAACCAAAAAAGAAAAATAAAAAAATGGAGCAAATATATTTTATATACTGTTTCCAGTTATAGTATGGATATTGTCAGTTCACTAAATAGAATGCAACAATGGGTTTAGATGTTTGCACAGTATTTAATCAAATTGATGTCTCGTCATTTATTTGACCCTTCGCTCCATGACCATTGGACTATGTAGGTTACTTTTTCCACTATCATAACACACAGCATCTATATTAGTATTTAAAGTTGTTCAGGCCAGGCGCCAGAGGCTCACAACTGTAATCCTGGCTTCTCAGAAGGCAGAGATCAGGAGGATCATGGTTCAAAGCCAACTATGGCAAATAGTTCTCGAGACCCCATCTCGAAAAAAAGAGCTGGTGGAGTGGCTCAAGGTGTAGGCCCTGAGTTCAAACCCCAGTACCTCAAAAAAAACTGTTCGGTGTTTTGTGTGACTACCTTGATCCCAGGATACGGTATTGACTAAGTTAAAAGGATGATCAGTACAGTGGGTGTTCGTGGCCAAAGTGATTTTGAAATTACTTCTAACCCCTTCCTTCACCCCATCCCCAGCTCCAGCTATGCACATGGCAAGGTCGTGACACCGGATCCCTGCCAGATGTGTGCCTGACTCCAGAGCTGGCGAGATTCCTCTATTTGTTTACTAAGTCATTTGAAGTGGCCTTTCCTATTCTTTGCTCATTTATCTTCACAAACACATTTTTATGTCATTTGCTGGAAAGAGGTTTTCTCCTGTGCTGTGGTTTGCTTTTAAGACCATGATTATATGGTAGCTGCCTGATTGGGACAATTGTAAAACAGTGGGTCCTAATCCTTAGCATTTCCAGGCTGTAGTTTTATCATTTTTTGTTTGGCTCATTTTAAGGTCAAATTGCCCTTGTGAATTTCCATTACTGGGCTGTGACCCTGAAGGCTGCCATCCCCTGCTCTGTGATGTGGAATGAGCACATTAGCGTCAGTGTCCGTCACAGTCCCCTTTCCCTTCATTACCTTCAAGTTTGCACGCAGATACCCGGGTCTGTCATCTGGACCAATCTGTTACCTGTTGTGCTCTTGCTATGGAATGTGTGTGTGTGTGCACATTAAGATCTCTCTCTGCCTCTCTCTCATATCTCATATCTTCCACATATCTCGTTCCCATTGGAGGGGAGGACATGTGTTCTACGTTGGGTCTTTAGGGAGAACTATACATTCTGGCCTGAAAAGAGTTCCTAATATGTGAATCTAGTTTTTAAAAAGCTTCTTTGGGGTTGGAGCAGCCTCTGATGAGGTTTTCCTGTTAAAATCAGCAAAGCGTTTTCAAACTCACCCTAGACTTAGAGTGTACGGAACATTTCCCCAGGATTCCGTGTGATTTTAATGACCTGCTGCAGTTCTTTTCTTCTCTGATCACGCTACCAGGAGGCACCTTGTAGAAGTTCTCTCATAACTCATGGACTTGATCTCAGTGGTGACTTTGTGGGGTGTGGGAGGGAAGGAAGGAAGTTATATTTCTTAACAGAAATAACTCGTCTTAACAGTTTGCTTTCTAAAAGCTGCTGCTCCTCATTTGCAGGGTTAGAAGAGCTCACCCTCTGACTCCCAGCCCAGGATGGGGGAGTGACTTACTCCCACGATAGTTGCCAGTGTTAGATGACATGCTGGATGATCTCATTATTGAATGGGAAAATTGCTACTGGTATCTAGGGGGTAAGACCAGGATGTTATCCAACACCCCAAAATAGACAAGGCAGCAACTACCACATGGAATCAGCCAGCCCCAAATAGCAGTAGTACCAAGGTTGACAAATCCTGCCTTAAACACCCATCTTTATATTTGGTTTGAATGTTGAAAGCTGGGGAGAAAGGGGTGAGTCTGATGGATAGGCAAAGTTTTAACCTTTCATATAGTAATTGGTCAACTTCAAGTTCTTTCTCAGACTTTAGTGTTTTGTTTTTGTGGAAGGAGTTGTGTCTCTTTATTTTGTTATGGGTCATTGTGTCCTGTAGTCTATCTGAATTCTGGTCATATTTAGCTGTCCACCAGACCAGATCTTTGTCAACCAGATTTCATACATTCCAGATCAACTGAGGAATTGCTGTAGAAAACATCTCGTAGTCCTACATCCAAGAACACGTGGTATTTCTTTTGAGGTAAATAGTATTTATTCTGAACATCATGTATTAGTCACAGTCCTCCAGAGAAACAGAACCAGTAGAATATATATAATTACAAGAAGGCTTTATTCAATTGGCTCATACAATCAGAGTCTGAAAAGGCCCACAGTAGTCATCTGCAGGCTGGAGATTCAGGGACATCGGTAGCTTCTTGGTTCAAGAAGCTGGAAGACTCAGAATGAGTGAGATGCCAATGAAGCATCCCCAGGCCAAGGTGCTAAAGCCTGCTGGAGAAGCACTGGTGCAAGTCCAGGTTCAAAGGCTAAACAACCTAGAGTTCTGTGGTGATAACCACAGAAAAATTTACCCACTAAGAAGGGCACATTTTTTTTCTTCCACCTGGGCCTGCAGTCTTTTGGATGTGCCAACCACATTCAGGGTGAGTTTTCCCCACTTGATTCAGTGGCACACACACCAGTCTTCTCTGAAACACCCTCACAGACACACCAAGAAATGTGTTTTACCAATGTTCTAGGTGTCCCTGAGTTTAGGCAAGTTGACACCTAAAATTGACTAGAAAAGTGGGGGCTCTGAGGTCCTCAGTGCCCAGTAGGTAGCAAAGGTGTTCAGTACTTGCATTTTCTTGGGGCTGCATTTCTCACTTCCTCTCTGGGGTGTGGAGGAGGAGATAATGGGAATCTTTGGCTGGTGTAAGCTTTCCCTCACTGGGGAATGAGGAGTCCTGACTCTGGTTGGCTCGAATTTTGTTTAGGGATTTCTCCAGTTCTTCCTTTGAGCTATTGCCCAAAAAAAAAAAAAAAAGTGTGCAAATAATGTTTTAGGACTATCCGATTTTTTTATGGTAACTGTTTTATTAGTAATTGGTACCTTACATAGTGGGTGTCTCATAGCTGAATGTAGTATTTTTTGTTCCTTGGCACACAGAATGACCTGGACCTTGAAATCCTGTCTTATTGGGAGGAAATAAGAATAGTCTGAATATCAAGTCCTTTGAATTGAATCCACCTGTCTGGAGATAATAGTATGCTTCTATAACACCCCTCCCCCACATAGAAAGAGATAGATCACTCATGGCATCCATCTTACCTTATTTGGAGTTCCTTGGAAAAGAATTCACAGTCCCACCTCAGACCAATGGACTTTGCACAAGTAGTAGTTTCTTTGCTGAGTAACAATGAATGTTATCTAATTGAATTCAGTCAGTTCAGAGTATCATTGTGTATTACAACCAGAAAAATTCTGTATCTATAATTAAAAATCTTGAAATCTTAAGTTGGCTGACCTGGTGTAAGGCTGTGTATCATCCTGGCTCATCCTGCCTGGTATGAAGAGTGCATACACACCTTTCTCGACAGAGGTGGGTTTCATGAGCATGCTTTTGAGTGCCCCAGGTAACCTACACAGTAACATCTATACTAATTTCTAAAATCTACAACTTTCTGAATCCTGGCATGCCTCTCCCAGAGTTTGGGTAAAGGATTGTGGACCTACAGTAAGCAGCCCAGTGCCTGGGGATGAATAAGTTAACCCTTTGATCCTGTGTGTTTCTGTGCCCAGTGAAAATGATATCTGCCTTTCTGCCTTGCTGATAGAATGCACATGGAGGAACTGTGAGCAGTAATGGTGTGGAGGCTGTTTGAGGGTGGAACAAGGAGTGCTTGCCTTTGACTCCATTGGTTTGTGGCCATGCACAGAATTGGGGTGTGTGACTGAATTTATTTATTCATAGGCCTTCTGGGAATTGTGGCTGTCCAGCTGTCATCTAATTATGCTCTTCGGGTCATGTCTACATTGTGGCATTTGGGGTGGGATAATTCCGGGGCAGGGAGAAGGAGGACAATGGTGAATCCTGCCTCTACCCACTGGGTACAGGAGCGTTCTTCCCCCTCATAGTCATGACAGTCAACAACCTTGCTTGACATTGTGAGATGTCCGCTAGGGAGCAAAATCACCTCCATTGAGGACCACTATTCTTGATCTGCTTGGGCTCAAATTTAGAACATGCCTGGTATTATTTGTTTTTTTAAAAAATCCTTCAGTAATTTTTCCAACATT